CCTCAGTCATGTAACCGCCAGCGCTCACCTTCAGTCCGGGGTCCACGAAGAAAATATTGGTCTTTCCATTCCAGGTACGTCCGGTCCATACCATCAACCCGCGCCTTGGCGACTGCGGTGAAGATGATGTCCCGTAGCGACGTTGTCGGAGCTGCTCGATGTTGGAGGTCTTCCAGATCGAGAGTACTGGTCTCCAGGTAGCTATCCATGGGTGACTCCATACTAGAAGTTTCGCAGCTGTTTGGAGGTGACATGAATTCCAAAGGTCTTAGTCAGGCTGCGACTGGAGATGACTTCATATTTTGGTGTACATGAAGGTGTGTGAAGGTGATGGGTGAGAGCCAGCTCCTGCTTATCGAGGAACATCTTGGGTATCTTCCGCCCTGGTACTCGTATCCACGTCCTCTGTCTGGGCTGCGAAAACTTTGCTGATATGTGACTCGGTCGAAGTGACTTTTTTTGGTTCCCTTTATTCTCAAGAGGTCGGCGACATGGTTATGTTCAATTTCCTGTCAAATGATTCGAAAGGCGAGGCCAGAAACTCAATAAGAAAATTGCAGGTCACAGGTGACATATACCATGAATCTTCTTCACAATAAGTACACTAGCAGAGATGTTTTGCTCAATGATCTGATGGAGAAACTGGACAATTGCTCCCTAAATGGCCAGTCTATACACAGGATCAACGCTACCTTCTGGAGGAACTCAGGCTATCATAACCCAATTAGAGGGAAAAGGAGAGGGGTTAAATAACTCTTGGCTCATCAAAAAGGTGTTGTTCAAATTCCCTGATTCCCTCAAGCGTAAAGTGGTTCAAACGTAAAGTGGTCATGAAGAAGCAGAGACTCGCACCTACTTCATTTCACTATGAGCCTACTCCTCCAATACCTCGACGAAGTCATAACACCAGAAGAAATACTTGATGTTCACGAAATTGAACACGAAGCAACCAGTAAAGGACAATATCTCTTCTCGCAATTAACCAGGTCTCAAAGGATCCATAAAAGGAGTGTGCATGTACTGAGAATGTTTCCACAAAAGGAGTGTGCATGTACTGCGAAGGTTTCCACCCTTCCTCATGCGTGCATGAAATACCCCACTCCATGGGAAAGATCTGTCCTATCTGAGGCAACGTAATTTTTGCCTCATATGTGCATCTCCAACCCACAAGCCGCACAGTGTAAAGGGCGAATGTATTTCAATTGTGGAGGGACTCACCAGGCTTTCAACAAGCCGAACAACCCATCAAGGCCATCCAGTACTCAAGAAATCGGAGGCGCGGCATATAGGTCAACAACAGCTCCCAAGAAGGATATCGGGGACAATAAGGCTCCAAAGACTAGAGAACCGTTCTCATGCCATAACGACCGCGACCGAGAGATCTGTTCCCTCAGACAGCATACCGGTTGAAACCGCAGCTCTCCAGCACCAGTCCACTCCTTACAACCCTTCGTCGGTACATCCATGCTTACCCATAGGGGAACTGAACCGTCGTTGATACAGAGACCAAGGCACTTCTAAGGTAAATGTTCCACTGGAATATCGGAGCGGAGCTGTCTTTCATTACCAAAGCCTTGGCGGAAGAACTGCAGTTACCAGTTCTGGAGGAGAAAGAAGTGAAACTGGTAACCTTTGGTTCTCAAGATGCGAAGAAGAACAGATCTAACCGAGTGCACTTGAACGTCTTGAGATGCAGAAGGGACCCTCTCATAATTTAGTACTGCTCACACATGATGTCCTGACGCGTTGGCTGGAAACACCAAACCTTCGTCGAGGACGTCGAATAGATTCGGTTTTTGATCCTACAAGTCGTGTGGCGATCGGATAGAGAGGGTCACGCCCTCCATTTTATTGGGATGTGATCAACTGTGGTCCTTCGAACAGAACAAGAACCTTCAATAGCCTTACCATCTGGAATGCATATTTTACCAACGAAGATGGGATACCTAGTTTCAGGAAAACCCAAAATTGAGAATAATTATGCCTTCCAAGTTTCTCAACCACTTCCAGATGACGAGGATCCAATGGGAAGTGCTTTGGTTGATGGACACAATACAACAATGTCGAGTCTCTCAGAGAGTGACATATCCCATAAAGAGAAGGATAAATGGGACCCTAGATGGGACACGCACTTGAATCGTTCATTGGTACAGAAAAGGACTTTCATACCTTTCATACTCTCGTTCATCAGTGGAGTTTTGCTTCGCTTCAGAATTGGAAGAACGGCCATCATCTCGGACATCGAAGAAGCTTTCTTCAGGTCATTCTGCAAGAACAGGATAGGGACGCAACAACGTGCTTTTGGTTACGTGATCACAAAGCACCTCCATCTATCAGTAACACAATAACGTTTCGCTTCACAAGAGTGACGTTCGGCATAAAACCTTCCCCCTTCTTGTTAGCGGAACAATAAACTATCACCTCCATCAATATCAGAATGAAGGTCACTTGATTCGGGACAGCAGAAGGACATGTATGTGGGCATTGCATTGGTGACGATGGACTCTTGGAGGATGCAATATATACGTCTCGACGGACGAAAGAGATCTTCCAAGACCTGGACATGAATGTGCGCAAATTCTCATCCAGCAATCACCTTTTAATTTTGGATGGAATAGAGTACATCGACGAGACTGACGAAAACAGCGCGGAGGTTCTGGGACTCTCTTGGGAATGTGAAGGACGGCACGATTGCATCACATCATGCCACGTTCCGGATACTCCATCACTGACCAAAAAGAGTATTACAATTGCGGCAATTGGGATCCGTAGGGCTGGGTCCTCCCCCAACAGAAATGGGCCATCATAGCAGAAGTTGTGCAGGTTTTCACCCAGAAAATCCCGAGATTTCGCGCATCCAGGAACACGCAAGTCTTCTTGTTGCCTTCACAGATGGCACTTCGTCAATCTTACCTATGTCAGCACGATAAAGCATCGCTTATCATGGCCGGATCTAAACTTCCACCCCTTCATGGGCAGCATACAATTCCAGAAGCTGGAACTAAATGCTGCAACTTTGTCCATGAAACCCTCCCACCATGTCTTTACCAGCTGAAGGACACGCTCAGTATCCAGGGAATTTACTTGTTCTCTGACGCTGAGATAGTGTTGAGCTGGCTAAAGCGGGAAACCAGAACGTGAAGTGGGTCCTCGTTAGGTGCGTAAAGGAAATGCGATACATTGCACGCCATCCCTGGTCTATTGACTCGACGCTTCTGCAATACCCACCCCATCAATGGCCGTGCCAAGATAAACTTTTCGTTTACCCCATTCAGGAACCGGAAGAAAGTCCTCTTACTCAACCCGTGGGACCCAATAAGATCCTCCTGGTAGAAGTCCAACGGAGAGATAACCTTGAACTTCTCAGTCCGGCTCAGATGCGATCATTCATACAAGCTAAGCGAATCGTAGCATACGTCCTTCGCTTCATATGCATTCTGGCGCAGAAAGGTGAACAGCTTCACGAATGGTGCTCTCGTCACAGCAGTGAACCAGTACCCATCAGAACAACCGAGCTGCTTAATTGCCTTGAGAATCCGATGCAGCGGGGCTAGCGCTCGTTCGTCATCATCAAAGCGTATATATCACTCAAGAAGTAATCGCTTCTCTGCGGCAGCTCAATATTCTTCAAGACGACCAAGGTATCTTCCGCTGCTACGGACGTCTAGGAAAAGCGCAGCTGGACTACGATACCAAGAATCCCGTCCTTGTACTCCAGAAACTTCTAGCAGATGTCATAATAAGGGATGTTCACCAGCAAGTCGATCACCTAGGCATCGATCATACAATGGCTATGGTTCGTCAACAACTTTGGATACCACAATTGCGCTCACAAGTTTGCGCAGTTATACGAAAGTGCTTTCAATGTCAAAGGTTCAATAACGTACCTTACAGTTACCCTGCGGAAGAGGATTTACCCAGAGAACGATTGTTCGTTCGTATCCACTCCAGCATGTTGGCATAGATTACTCTGACCCATCTCAATTCTGCCAGGCGCACGGGACCCAGGGAAATGTTACGGTGCAATAACTACGCATTTATCTAGATGTTGTTTCTGATATGCCCACACGAGCCTTTCTCAATATGCTCCGTCCGTTTTTTTGCCGTAGATGAATACCTCGGTCAATCACTAGTGACAATGCTGCAACATTCGAACTAACTAGGAGAAACCATTTTTGCAAGCGGTTCAGATTGATCCACTCTTGCGGATCTGGCGAGTAATAGAGTCGAGGGTGATGAGTTGTACGCAAGTACACATCAACCCTGGCAAGGAAGTTTTCTAGTGAACGTCGATCAAACCGTGAAGCACTGTGCCTTCAAGGAGATTAGGGACGCTTCGTCCCGCTCGAAGATTATTACGAAGTGGCCATTTGTGATGAGATGTAGCTCACTAGACGTGGTTTTGGACGCTGATCTTGAATCTGCCTTCAAAATTTGCAAAGCGATTCTCTGAACGGAGTTATGGAGCCGCGTTTACCACGCAACAGGTCATGGGATCGGATCCCTGCTGAGCTTAACTTTTTTGCTTCTTGTGCAAACGTGGCAAAAAGTGGTTGTGGCGTCACTACTACATTAGCGCTCTCCTTGACTTGCCTGAAAAACAGTTTGTGTTCGCTTACTGGCGCGCTTAGTGCCTTATGATCTAGGAGAATTTTTGGATGTACAGGTGCCCTTGGCGCGCAGTGCAGGCGTTTTCGCGCTGAGCGAGTGCCATATTCGTATTTATGGGGGCGAACTACGCCTAGGTAGAGGTTTCTAGCCAAATCTGCCATTTTGACCTGACTTCGAAAAGTGAAGCATCCATGGGTTAGTTCAGTTGATGTTCACACCTATTCAGCTGCAGATACATTCTCCTGCACAAAGCCTCGTCTTGCCACTTCTTACGCATTCATGTTGTTACTGCTCCAGTTTTCCTGGTATCTAAAAGCAAATTCTGTCCAAAGACAAGCAATCGACAAGAGACTGGCCCTGGAACTATTGGTGACCATCATTCGATCAACTGCTACCGCACTTTTCAAAGTTAGGTCAAAACCTCACATCTGGCTGTAGTTTTGCTCCCTGAACACGAATATGGCACCCATTTGGCGTTTGAGTGTTTTCTAGACTTAAAAGAGACATTCCCCACAAAATGCAAAAGAAGTTCCCTTCCAGAAATTCGAACCCTTCATGGCATGCCCGCGAAGCAAGACCATTACCACTACACCATGCCGCCGTTGAACGTAAGGTGCTTCCCGGCTATTCATGCGAATTGGCTGGCAACCGCGCTCGACTCCGTTTCCTTCATTTTAATTCTAACAAACCTTCATAATTCCGTTCAGAGAATCGTTCTGCAAATTTCGAAGGCAGATTCGAGATCAGCGTCCAAAACCACGTCTAGTGAGCTACATCTCATTACAAATGGCCACTTCGACCTGACGACCTTCCCTAGTTAGTCGAAATTAAGACAATACTCGATACGCGTCCTTTCACGGATGTAGTAGGCGAACCTCACAAAGACTCGATACTAAGTCCAATACACTTCCTACAGAAAAACACCTTCGCCTACTGTCACTTACTCAAGCAAACAAAGGACGATGAAGATGAGCCGCATTATTTACCATGAACATACTGTGGTCCAGCAGCAAGCGGAGCATTACAGACGTCCTGCTAATTCACAGAGAAGTTTGGAATGCATGACAGAAAAATATCTCACGGCTCTGAGAGAGAAACACACTCTCAACGTCGGCAGGAAACGCGGCTGCTCACAATATCCAAAAGAGGGGACAGTAGTGTTGATAAACGATCCCGTTCTACCCCGCCACTCTTGGAAAATGGGCAGAATTCATCAGGTTAAAGCAAATGCTCGAGGATCAATACGTGAAGTCGTCGAACGGTTACTATCCCATTGGCTAATTCTTCGGCCGGTCAACCTTTTTACCCCTTTGGAACTCGAGGAAGAAGAGCGCACACTAGCCTCAGAACACCAGAACCTTCTGACCGACGAAGTGGTCGAATGAAAAGTCACATACCTATTGCCCCTGAAGCGGCTTCACAGTCAGATAGAGGTCACTCCGAGGTAGTGCCACAATACAACCTCAGGAAAAGAGGTCCTGTAGATTATTCTGGAAGATATGCAAGGGAATGTGATGCGAGCAATAACATGCACGAAAGCGGGGTACACTGCACCTCCTAGAAGTACTCCTTTATGAAACTTGCACAGAACAATACTGTTTCAATTACTCACCCGAACAAATTGAAAGAAGAATAACATTCTTTTCAGAAATATACTCCACGAGCATAATATCCACTAAAAGCTTTCTCTGCCGCACTCTATAGAGACCATTGAAAGCGCTTGCCCACTGGCACCGCTTTGCCCATCAATGGACTGTACTTTTTGCATATCTTCAATCCATCAGCGCAATATTGGCAACGGTCACAATTCTTTACTTCCTAATAACAGGTTGCTACTTCATCTTGTATGTACCTGTCACAGTCGGGAGACACTGACCAGGAAAGGTCAACAGGTCAGCCTGGCCATTTCCAATGAGCTGCACACCGTTGTACGCGTCTTGGGACAGTGAACTCAAATCTACCTTCAAAATTTGCAGAACGATTCTCTGAACGGAGTTATGGAGGGTTTTATCCCCGCATGGTCGTTTCACATGCTATCGCGAGGAAACGTGGAAGCGTCTTTACATTTATGTATGGAGTCGTTCTGAAACGTGGCAGCAGAGCGCAACGGGTAGGGAGAGGGTTCCTCAGGCGAGACGTCGCATGATCGGTTCTGGGGCAGGTCCTTTTTTGCATTTGTCCGAAAACATAGCCGACAAAGCTTCTAACATCTCTGCTCGCCTGCACTACCCTACAAGGGAACCTGCGATCAGTTTTTTTTGAAAGTGTAGACCCATTGTGGCCTGAAAGAGTGCTTCTGCTTGTACCCCTCGTAACACGTGTCACAAGGGTTTTTGCAATGAAATACCATCATATTCATGTTCAGCGGGTTAAATTACCCCTGGGGACAAGTTTCTAGCCGAATCTGATTTTTCGACCTCACTTGGAAAATGTGGGCTATTCCATGGGTAATTAGCAGCAGATTGGAGCTCACCTACCATCGATGACTGGTCTCGGAATGGGATTTCCTCCCGATAGTCAAGAAAATGATGCAGACGGCACAAATAAGTAAGCCAGGTACTGTTGTTCGCGAAAAGACATGATTGAAGAGTTATTTCAGCTCGAGACCAGTAGGCTAGCCGTAGTATCGCTGTTGGCTATCAGTCAGCCATGACTATCCATACCCCATTTTTTCGAAGTTGAGTCAGAAGCTCAGATTTTGCTAAGGTGACGTCCCTAGGGGTTATTTGACCCCCTGAACACGAATATGATACCTGTTTTGCGCGAAGAGCGCTGTGAGTCGCGCTACATGTGCCAACGCTTCGGCGCCAGCGCGCCCGTAAGAAGAAAAACAGTAAAGAAAAACCTCCATAACTCCGCTCAGAGAATCGTTCTGCAAATTTTGAAGACAGTTCTGAGTTCATCGTGTCAAGGTGAGTACAGTGATGTGCATCTCTTTGCAAATAGCCAGGCCGACCTG